GTGTGTGTGTGTGTGTCTGTGTGTGTATGTGTGTGTGTGTGTGTAAATATACGGGTAAACATATAAATTACACATAATATAATAAATTAATCATACCCCGGACCTTATAGTAGGTGTAGCGGCCATCGAGACATTTTAGCACATATTAGCTCATATTGATTGCTCGCATAAAAGTTTTCATGTACCTAAGTAGCATCAGTAAGTAGAATTATGTAATTAATTAGATGGTGAATGTTTATCAAAAGGTCGGGCTACCAACATGTGAATATTTACACAGTAAATCTTGAATATATGTGATAAAATATTCATTAATAGACTGCAGACTTCCCAGAGCGTCGGTGAACATGTACAAGATCGTCCCCACCATTACATCAGATTTGATAGATCACAAATCCTCGCAAAAGAATACCGATTCCTACCAAGGATGATACGCGAGGCTATTGAAATTAAAAAAAAAACATCCTAATTTCAATAGAGAAGATGGATGGGTGCTGCCATCTGCTTGGGATCCTATAATTAACAAAATTAAATCCAAACCCAAGCATATCACTGCGAGACTTCAAGACACTATAAGTTCATTAAATCGAACCAAAAATTAATATTAAAAACTTAAGGTAGCCGGGCTAACTGTGACATCGGGACGTCAAACATCTCAGTCCCCCCCGTGACCATGGGTTGCTGTAAAGCACCCGAAACGTCGGGTATTAAAATAGTAAATTAAACGCGATAAAATATGTAAAAAAAAATTTATTACTTTATTACAAGTTTTATTCAATGTGTAGTGTTCGCGTAAATATAAGAAATCATCATTAATACCTGTTTTTCGTGCCGCCGTGGTAGCTCAGATGGTTAGCGCTCGCTGTATGCTTCACAGTACTCGAGGGACCCGGGTTCGATCCCCGCCGGTACCAATGAAATTGTTAATTGCAATTTTTATTGGTGATTTACCACGTGCTCGGCGGTGAAACAAAACATCGTGATGAAACCTGCATGTCTGAGAAATAAGAAAAAAAATATTTCGAAGACATGTGAAGTTCGCCAACACGCATTGGGGCAGCGCAGCGGACATTTCCTTGCCCTAAAACCCTCTCAGAAATGAGAGGAGGCCTGTGCCCAGCAGTAAGACGTAAATAGGCTACAACTTTACTTTAATTTACTACCTGTTTTCCTATAATTTGCACACTCGAGCAGAGCTGTCATAAGCGCAAGTTTATTTTTGTGTTAAGATTAGCCCAAAACACGGTCCAGGTCGTCAATTTGTATACAATATAGTGAAGGGGCCGTGCACTGCGCTTGCTGATACGAAGCTATCAATCGAGAATCTTTCTTCCCCATCGGTTGTCGGTTTGTCAAGAAGCCAACAAGTTGTCACTTTAGCTTACCGCGTTATTCGTTGGGAATTGTCAGTTACTACCGTTGTCATTGTTACGGATTGTATCACGTAGACAAACTTCGAACATAGCTCATTGAGCAATAGACTCGATGGGTGTAGGTAACTCAGGATCGTGATTTGTGGCATTCATTGGGAAAGACCTAGGTTCAATACACGTGAAGAGGTGTAATGATGATAATAATGACGATTTTTGAGACACTTAATTCGAAATATTTTAGAACTATTAACTTTTTCATCATACGAACTATGCGTATGATGAAAAAGAACCACAAAATAAATTTACTACCTATAAAATGTTACCTCCACATTCGGACTTTATATTTACAATTTATTATGACTATAAAATGCCTCTAAAGGCATTTTATAGTCATAATAAATTGTAAATGAACAAATATTCAAAACCGTAACAATTATTTATCGATGTAAATATAAAAATATTTGAATTTTGATTGGTTGGCATTAATTGACGATATACAACCATACAACATTAACATATTACATTAATTCAATCTTGATCTTAAAAAATTGCTTAAAGTGATGTGAAGTGTGAGTCCCGTATAAAGAGTCGATTCTCCTGGTTAATGTAGGAAAATTACATAAAAATTATCCATTTTAATTATTTCCTTATATCATTATTGCGATTGCGAAACGAAATCTTAACAAAAATAGATTTTTACAGTCAAAAACAGGATAAATAAAAAAGTTTTCAAAATAATAAAAAAGTTTTCAATGTCAAATTAATTTAATATAACAACTATAACAATTAATTTTAATCAGTGGTAGAGCCACGCAGCAGCATTTGCTGTTGCAAGCATGGGCTGGCTTGAACCGGGGTGGTACCACGACCTCACAAATACTAGCGTGAAGTAGAAGCTCTGCTTCTGCATTTCGTTTTTTGAGTGCAGGTGGCCGGAGTTCTCCCCCCCCACTTCCCCCTTAACATGGTAGCGGAGTTAAATAATATACTACCTCAGGAGGGTACCACACACCCGGTGGCGGAGAATCCCTCGCAGAGCATCTACCCTACTCTTCCTGAGCGTGGGTGCTCAGGCTGCCCGCGTATTCTGAAGAGGAGGAGGACGAAATAAAGCTCGAGATTAAACCTGCTCGAGGCAAAGGAGCAATAAGTCAAAGGCGTCCCCTGTCACGCTAACCGTGAATTTTGCAACATCAGGGGACTTCATTCCAACTACTCCATCTGGAAACCGCAAAGCCAGCCTTGTTCTTTCTAACCGAGACACAGGCTGATACTTCGTATCTCTCCTACCCCGGGTACATATTAGAACACTCCTTTGTGCCCCGAGCTGGAGTTTGCGTGTACGTCAGAGAGGACATCTGTTTTCGACGCTTCGGCAGCCTTAAATGTACGGACTTGTCCATCTTATGGCTGCGCGTACGCGACGACCATCCCCGCGTTTACGGGTGCTTGTATAGGACCCATAGCGGCAATGCCGACACAGACCGACTCATCGACCACGTTCAAATGGCTGCAGACTCCGTGCTACAACAGGTCCCATCCGCAGAGATCGTGATGCTTGGTAATTTTAACGCCCACCACGCTGAATGGCTTGGTTCTCGTTTAACCGATCATGTGGTTAGATCTGTTTATGACTTTGCATATAGTCTGACACAACTGATGACCTCGCCTACGCGGATTCCAGATATGGAAGATCATGTACCTTCCCTGTTGCACCTTCTGCTGACCTCTCATCCAGACAGATATCAGGTTTCCGTCGATGCCTCTCTTCGCTCCTCAGACCATTGTCTGATCCAGAGTTTGGTACCCCTCACGCTCCCGTCGCGGTTGCGTTCTGCAGGTTGCCGCCATGTTTGGCATTCTGCAGAACGCAACCTACGCAATATATATATATATATATATATATATATATATATATATATATATATTAAACTTACTTACTGGCACTGCGAAGAGATGTTGCATCTATTTTTATATTTTATCGCATTTACTACGGGGAGTGCTCTGAGTAATTGTTCGGACTATTTTCACCGCTGTGAGATTTAAGACAAGTTTTCTTCCTTGCACAACTTCCTTGTAGAATCTACTACCACCACAGATTTTTCCGAACCTATACAACTAAGGGACCTTCAAGAAAAGAGCGTACTCCTTTTTGAAAGGCCGGAAGCACATCTGTAATTCCCCTGGTGTTACAGTTATTCGTGGGCGGCGGTAATCACTTACCATCAGGTGAGTCGTATGCTCGTTTGCATACGACTCACTTGATGGTAAGTGTATCTTATTAAAAAAAAACGCTAGTGTATGCAGCTAAATGTTTTAATATTAAATAAGACTGTGGACCCTGTGGAGTTAAAATTTTAACCGGAGTCAAAAACTTACATAAATATAAATTGTTAGTTTTTGGGCATAGTTATCTTGTGATGATTGTCCATGTCTCGTTTATACTAATTCTGAGCTTCGTCTCCGATCATATCATAATGTCAGCATTTCATTATGGTCGGGTAAAACAGGACGAGTTAATGATTTTATCTACAGCGAACACGACGAACTTATGGCACAATAATATCTACATCACAGTTTTTAGCGTTCAATTATTCAGACTTTTTGTTATTATAAAATAAGAGTGACAAACGAGCACACAGTCCACATGATAGTAAATGGATGATGTGACCCATAGATATATACATTTATCCTTGGTTAAGAATCAAAATGTATTGGCACCCCTGAGGACTAAGATAGAATGCCTTGTTTTCATTCACCATACAAAACACAGTAGCATTAAACTGCTATTTTACGCTGGTATTCTGTGAGAGCGTAGTCCAACTTCGGTCAAAGCAGCCCATCACATAGAATAGATCATCATAACGTGTTTATTAATATTTTCAACTTCTAAAGAGGAGGCTAATAAATTATTCGCTCTACTTTGAATTGAATTGGCCTAATACTTCATTTTATATAATATTGAACTTTATAAGCTTCTAATTTTTTGGTATTAAACAAATAAATTATCCCATCAGCAAAAGTCCACTGCTGGACACGGGCTTCTCCTGTTGTGAAAAAGATTTAATTTATCGCCACGTTTGGCAACTTTTCGTACTTATTTTCATTTAGGTTTTTTTGAGAAAACGAAAAATTATTAAGAAAAATGTTTTTAATGATTATCTTAAATCTAACTAGCACTACATTAACAGGTCCTACACATACAAAGCCGGGGATCAGGTTACTAATTTTTAAATAAAGCAGCCGTTTATTCATAAACATTTTTATAAAAATATGTTTTTAATAAAATACATCTTAATAATTATATGTACAAACTATAAAATAAAGTACAAATTGAACATGATGCATCACCATCGTACGTATGCATCTATCTCTTGTATTATTGTGACTTAAAATAAGCCTCACGTTAGTTACATACGTACCTATATAGTTTCATTTTGTAGAGATAGAAAAATATGAGGATCTCAAGCATAACCTTTAGCACATCTTGTGATCACTCAATTGGATATTATCATAATATAAAATTTTTGGAAACACTAGTATAAATACATAACACAATAACCTATTTGGCTAGGTCTCTCTTAGAATGTCTTTTGATTTTAATTTAGATTTAAATACCACACTAATCATCTACTGCTGGTAGTAGAAACCTTGGTAGTCAAGAGCTGCCTTATCTCCTTGCTGCTTTGCTGCTTCTGGGTTGTTCTTGGCCTCTAACGTATCGCGTTCCTGAAAATAAAAGATTTCCTTGTATTTAAAATCGAAATTATTATATTGATTTTTTATTATAAAACAACAAATAACATTCCGCTCACGCAAAAATATAGGTTTGACGAAAAAGAAATATAAATAAATTAGGTTAGGATCACTTAAACAAGATCGAAGCTGTTTATATCGACGAATATGTAAAATTACATGTTAGGTATATTCTAGCTTGATTATAAAACTTAATTTTACATTAAAATTATATTGAACTCCCACCTATAAATATAAAAATACCTTATTAGCTTCAATGCCTTTGTAAATGAGATCAAGGCTTTTTTGAATTTCAGGTGATAACGGTGATGTGGTTGGAAGATGGTCACCCTTGACCCTGAAGCCAAGTTCGTCGGCGATGTATTCGATAGTGATTAATTGACCGTCGGGGGCTGTGTAAGAGTATGAACCCTGTTGTACCAACACATTTTGGTTTTCACCGACTGTTTTAAAAGAACCCTGTTCTTCGGCTTGGATGTGGTTACCAGTTTCGTATCTGTAAATACAACGAGGATAAATAAATAATAAATTAAGAGTATTTAATGTCACATAAAGAAATATAATTTTAAAATTTAAATAAACAGCTTAATAATTAGTTGTGACAAAATGGTTTGTAACTCAGCTATAACGGGAAACGCTCCTGCTATTCCGACACAGCCTTTGCGCATTTACCATATAGGGCCTCAGGAAAGTGATGTTATAGACGTATTTTAAAGTTAAACTTACAATAGACAAATAAATAAAAACTAAAACAATAAATAAGTAATAGGTATAAAAAACAAGAAAAGCATGTAGTAGTTTAATTTCGAAAGAAGCATTTATTAAGTTATAACTTACATATAATATGTAGATGGCCTATGTTGTAAGAAACCTATGCTCGACAGTGGATTTGTAAAGGTCGTTTACAAATCCACTGCCGAGCATAGATATTTACGGACCATAGGTTGTTGTATTTACTGTGTTATAAAAAAATTTAGATGTTGCAACAGACAGTTGTGAATATAATTAACTAAATAAATCTCTTGTTTTTCAGAGAAACGCAATTACGTCTTTATTTTACTATTCCTAAAAACTTTCAAACAAACTAAATGCGTTTTTATATAAAACCTTAATTATCTAATAAAGTTAATATGGATATAAGTACATGTCACAAATTATTATTAAAGCTAAACAAATTACGAAATTACAGAACGGATAATATTTGTGAACTTTTTGATGAATTGCGGATGGCTTTGTCCGCGTAGCATCAAATTACGTTAAGTTGCTATATTCAGGGCAACGACAACTAAAAAATTTATGTTCGTCATTAGTTAAAAATCTATATAATTATAAAAGTGTTACTCTAGTTACATTTTTACTTAAAACTTTATTGTATTAACCATAAAGGTTACAAAGAGTGGAATTTCTGCCAGTCAACCCATAGCGTGCTGGAAATTAATGGCAGGAGTTAATAGCTAAAACAATAATATATAGTAGATACTGTTAAAGACACAAATTAATTGATGGTATTTAAATTAGGTTTATGAACTTCATAAATCCATACATACACAACATTTTTTTTATAGGATAGGGTGACAAACGAGCACACATTCCACCTGATGGTAAGTGATTGCTGTGGCCCATAGACATCTACATCTATCCTCGCTTGTAAATCCAAATGTAGATACGTTGCCACCCGTGAGGACTAAGATGGAATGCCTCTTTTCCAGTAAAAAGGGTCTCCGGTTCTCTACACTCACCATACGAAACACAGCAGCATTAAGCTGCAATTTTACGCTGGTATTCTGTGAGAGCGTGGTCCTTCCCCGATCGAGTCGACCCATTCGTGCTACAACTATACTACTAATTTAGCTGCAGCATGGCTCTACCACGTATAAACATGTGAACACAATATGAACGCTGCTCTATTCGGTAGATCTTCCAAAACTAATCTTTTCAAAACCATCTTAGTTGGTGTTTTTCTAATGGTCTAAAATGTGTTTTCTTAGGGAGTGGTTAAGAATAGGGAGATTACATTACTATATAAGAAAAAATGGGTTTGATTTTTATAATAATAAAATAACTTTCAAATACTCACGAAGTCTTATAGCTTCCGTCGGTTCCCTGTTCTTTATCAAAACTTATGATAGGTATGAACGTGGTGGTCTCCAACTGTACTTTTGGTCTGAAATCTTCAATGGGTCTGTACTCTGATTGCTTGTATTCTGGTTGGTAGTTGTAGTTTTGTTCAGCTGTCTGTTGGTCGTTCAGTCCTGATTCTGGCTTCAACGATACTCTCCTTTGTGGGAGAGCAATCGTAAGTGCAAGCACTGCAGATAATGTTACCTGGAATCACATATGAAATAGATAATTTAATATGGTAATATTGCTGCTAACAGCCAGAATACCAAATCATGGGTTGAGTCATGAGACAAAAACTATCTGGAGCAGCATTTTTATTATACACATTTTGTTGATTTTCATGGAAAAATATTATATCTAAAAATTCTTCTTTAAGTTTTTAATTGTCTCTTAAAATATCTGGCCCAGAATGTCATATGGCATCAAATTTACTTTAAGTACTTATTTTGTTTAAAGGTCTAAATAAATTAACAAAATATATATATATATATATATATATATATATATATATATATATATATATATATATATATATATTGTACGTATTTTACAATATATTTAACGGAGCTAAGATGTTCACTTCGAATAAAGTGCAGTGGAAACCTAAAGCTAGAATAATAAAGAATTTACGAACATGTTGCATTATAGTAAATATAAGTGTACACAGTACAGTCACAGAAGTATTTGCTCTCTCTAATATCTTTGTTAACGATAGTTGCAGTAGCAAAAACAGAGCATAGGTCATAAGACAAACAGTTGCGACAATCAAAAATTTGTCTACTTACACGTATCAGTCTTACTCATTATATAATTGAAAGTCGTCAACCCAGTCGAAATATTACCGTAAAATTACTTAACAGATAAATACATCTTATAATGACACGTAATGACGTCACCCATAAAAAGAGCTTAATCATATTCATTATGTTGCAAGATAAGGTGGAGTAAATACAATGGGGTACCATAATTGTGAAACCGCATCATTCGACACGCGGCATGGGCGAAAGTGAGCTCCGGTGAAACATGTATCGACACTTACATGTTCTCAGGTGTATTGTTTTCATTGAAATTGTCTCCGCTTAAGTTATGTTTTGTTGGCATTGAAAATCTCCGTTCAAATGTTGTTTCGTTTTTACGTAACAAAAGTCATATATAACAAAACTTCATATCGTTCGACCCGACATACACTAATAGTTATTGGGTAAAATTTTCACTAAAAAGTATGCACGCGTTCATGTAAATATTTTTCTATTTTAGTAACGATACACACATTGGTAATTAACCGCTTTTCCGTTTCCTTTTAACACTGATTACAATGTTGTTATGTATTCTCATAAATATACATTGGTAGTTCTTAACGCTTCAATTGTAAGCTCTCGTCCGAAACATTGAACTGCTTAGCAGATTATTAAGTAATATTAAGTGCTATTTACGATCAACTGGCATGTCTATCGATCTATATAATCTATGGATATTACCTTTCCATGCCTTAAAGAAGGTCTTTATATATAAAAAATACTAAAGATTTGAAAATAAATAAGTAGTAAATAAAGCGGATCTCTACCTAAATAATGGAACTTTTATGCTAAAACAAAGTTAAAATGCACTAAAAATACATTACTTAATTTATTTTGAGTTATTTTATAATATTCATATTACATTATAACGGAAGTTCATATTATAATGAACTTTATTATTTATAGAATACAGGCTAGGGCTTTCTGCGTACTACTTGTATATAACATCGAAAACTTTCTGAGGCCAAAAACATTGTGACCTAGAAAGTAATGTTATGCAATTTGTAGACACGATGAACAAGATCGTTTGTATAACAGCACGATTCTAAAAGTAGGTACTAGACTATACTAGAACAGATTTATTGGTTCACAAATACTAAACGAAATCTAAAGCGTAATTAAACATAAATATCGATTATCATATAGAAGCTTTATCTTTAGGTGTAATGTTAAATAAAATATCCTGCTTCACTTAATACACAAATAGCAAAAAATTATATAACGTTTAATTTATAAGAACGTTACAAGTTCTTTTTTATTTCTTTTAATTTAAAATATAATCTATTCACTAACACTGAATTAATCATATAATTAGATGCATATTTTCAAAAATAATGTCAAAGTTCAACCGCCGACCCTATTCGCCTCTGCATCTCGTAAGAAGTCATTGTGAAAATCCACAAATATTAAAGCAATATTTCGCATTAATTTAATCACATATATCTTATAAAAAGCTTCCATAAGGATTACTTTTTCATCTTCCACATATTAAGTCAGTTTTAGACATTGAATCTAGAAAGTATGATCTACATACATAAACTTCATACTATTTGAAAAGTCTCTTTAACTATTGCATCTTAACTGATTAGGGAGGTTTAATAAAAAAGCTTTTGAACTTACCAGTACTTTCATTGTTATTTTTTGGGATAAAACGTGCGGCAGTGAAGCACGTGAAGTCTCTTTGAAACTGTGTCAGAGTGGTATACGCTCTCTTATATACTTCACCCCTGCCACTTACTCGCTCTCTGCTCTGAGGCATCACTCTTTTATATCTGATTCGCAACTACACCAGGTGAAAAGATACTTTTTTAAAGTTTCAATATTAACACGTTAAATTGCAATGATAGCAAATAGCATGGCACACTATTACGTATACTGACAAGTAACACCGGAGCACCTTTTCGTAGTAACATCCGAGTACTTCTTATTAGTTTCTAATAACATCTAACTCAGATGTTTCTACTAAGTGTTTATGAAAGGTTATGACTTTAGGAGGCCATTATTTACGATATCTTAGGAGTTGCACATGAATTACAGCTCCATAAATATATCTCCATTCAGATTCTACGATTGTTTTACGCTTATCGTGTTTAATACAAATAATTATCTTTGATAATATATATATATATATATATATATATATATATATATAGCATTTAAGAAGTTGACGCTTATTGCCTGTAAAACAAGTTCGTATTGATGTTGTAAAGGTAGCTTACATAAGAAATAGGCGTTGTTTCAGCTTAACAGTAAAGCAATGTGTTAGTATCAATTACCGTTTTAGCTTGTGCAACGATCAAAAAGGGTCTACCTGATGATAAATGCGAGTGCATTAAAGACAACCTCAAACAAAGGAGGTTACAAATGCATTGTCACCTTTGAGAAGTTAGATGGAATGCCTCACAGCCTGTTATTATATTGACTCCCTGTACCGTTCAGACCATAATACAGCGTTGCAAACACTACCCAGATAGACTCCTAAGTAGAAGAGGTCTCCTACCCATTGCAGCCTCTCCACGGGAGAGGAAAACTCCTTCTAACAAGAACACAAGGTGCGCCCTCCCTTGCGGCTCACAACTTCATCAGCGCAACGAAACCCCCCTACCCTACATTGTGAGGCCAGGAAAACGAGCACTCGAAAGACCCAGGTTTTTTGCCACAGCAATGATAGGGAGAGTGATGCCTTGCAATACCAATACTCCTCTCCTCTCGCAACTCCATCACCGCCACATCACCGCATCAACGGCATGGTCCTGTCATAGTTGCAGAGGATAAGGTGAGTCCTCTTCACATGCGAATTCAGATGCTGCGGTAAGAGTAGAGGACACCCATCCCGCTGTAGTCTACTAAACACACATTCGAATTAAACTTGCCAAGTTCACTCGGAGTGAGCAACTCGGACTGGTTCAGTTTGTGCTGGCCCAAAGGGGTTCCTCTTAGTTCACCTAGAGTGACCAAGTCACGGCTAATACTGCCCAGTTCAGTCCGCCACGACAAGGCGGGAAACCGTTCGAAGGGGACGTATACTCAAGAACTAGTGCAATATAAAGTTGTGAAGTCCTTACATAATGAAATATTCAAGTTTTATTTAAGTTTTGTTGGATTTAATTAAGGCATACGTTGCTGTTTGCATTGTCAGCAGTATATTGTTTGTTCAAAAGTTTTTTGTGCCTAAAATTTCGAATTTTGTATGATGATGGGGTGATGGTTTACATCTCTATTTTATTGAATTTCTTAGGGTCCGTTTCTTCTGCAAACTCCCTTCCTGCTGCATATTAATGACCTGCTTAAGCTCGGTATCGTTTATGGGTACGCAGATGACAGCAAACTTTCAGATAGATATCAGCTGATTGCTCGGACCAGTCGGTATCAAATGCAGTCTGAAAGACAACCCTTTGTTGAGTGTGTGAATCTCCAACTGCAGTCAGTCTACGTTTTGGTCCCTGAATAGCGCAATTTATTTACCAATCTTGTGAGATTCAACGCCTCTAAAACATAAACATGCCTCGTCACCGCAAAAATGAGCCTGCTGACCTTGGCTCCTTCTTACCAAAATGTATTGGCCTCCACCCTTTTTTCATTGTTGACATATCACACATTCGAACCAAACGTTTTTTTTTTACAGAAGTGTCGACTGTCGACCATGTAGTGGTTTTAATTGTCTATCATAATGCGTACAGCAAAGGAGTCAAATAATTTTCTATCTTCTGCCTTTCTATCCTATTACAATGTAGCTGTCTTTAAGGCAAGAGAGTGAAAAGGGTCAGTGAGCTTTATCGTCTTCGGCTATATCACCACATATTATCAGGTGTTCGGCATTTCAAACGCCTCTAGCCATTTTGTACTAAAATCTCTTATAACTAAAAATATTTTTTGGTTAAAGTACCAAAGAAATGAATGTGGCATCTGCTCCATAGCTACTTGTGATAAGGATAAGGAGGCATACTAATAGGTGTGGGCAACTCCGCCATAGACGTCTCACACCCACGGCACAGTGATTCCACGCTATATTTAGTTTTAACAATTCTTAAACTTATGTGACTTGCGTGTATTGCATTAATAATTTATTTCTTAAAATATAAAAGGCCGGCAACGCATCTGCGATTCCCCTGGTGTTGCAGTTGTTCATGGGCGGCGGTAGTCACTTACCATCAGGTGAGCCGCATGCTCGTTTGCCCCCTCTCCTATAAAAAAAAAAATATGCGGCGTAACCAACTGATAAAACCACATTACGCAGCCCCGATCTACGTACAGTGCATTACGTTTGAAATAATATTGTTCAATCTCTCGTGGATCATCCAGACTAAATATTAAACTAAATTTCTACTAAGTTGTGGATTTTTTGAAGTCGCGGTGTTTATCGCGTCTTTAATAACCGGGGAAAATTGTCTAAATATAATACAATGCATTTCTTCGGACTGTGTAAAACGCGTCATGTACCTATTACTGCAACTGATAAAACGGATCAGTAAATTTTTTGCCAGAATAATCGTATGCCGACAGTATAATATCCAACTATGTAATCAAGTTGTAGCAATCATAGGAATTCCAAACCTATAACCAATATACATATATATGTTATAGGTTTATGAACCGTTTTTAAATCTGAAAAACGGTTGACCCTGCAAGCTTTCCCTGGAACTTCCTGCTTATTTTCGAGCGCAACGCTCGAGAATATCGAAATATCGACTGTTCCCTTTTCGCAGTTGTATGCGATATCAAAGCACCAACCATGATGCTGCTGTCGGCCGTCAATGCTATCTGTAATCTAACGAATAATGAATGAGCTAGCACTTCGCTTGAGCTCAAAATTCTGTTAATGTTAAATCGTACATCCAGTGTTCAGTGTAGTTGAATTTAACCTATGTTTTGAGCAATTTATATAATGTTGAGATAATTACACTACCAACTCTTCAATAAACATGTCGGTAGCCTCAATTAAACCGCCTTGCCTGCCTGCCGCTGAGCCGCTCGAGGCCCCCCCTCCCACAAACACATTACTGAATCAGGACAAAAAATAACAGTTATTAAAACCATTGTAGATGATATTATTTAAATTTAATACTGAAACACTGGTATCAGTATTACGATATCGGCTTTTTGTTCGACTAACCACGGTCGGTCGAGAAGAACAGTATTACCGCCTCAAATTATGAGTAAGTTTATTATTTTTCTTTTATTATCGATTTCACTAATGGTGAAACCACTACACATATAATAAGTCTAAGTTAAATATTCAAAATAATAATAAAAATATTAATTAGTTGAGATTTTACACATGTGGATTGCTTCACCCGTATAAAACCAATAAAACCTCAACAAAAAATCACAGAGATTAAGCAACTTTTGGGGTTTGAATTAATCACTAATTTCTTTTTATAAAGTTGAAAACATGATCATGATAATATGGCGCTTCCCGTGTCTCACTTCGTTTTATTCTCCTTCTTAAACACCGTGTCGTTATCGATTGCGTGAATATTGTATTCACTGCGTGATGAATAACTGTTTTAAATGGATAAATATTTTACCTCGTCACTGTTTGATTTCGATGTTGATATTCTATTAGTTTCAGGCACACTAGTTGTAGATGACACTTCGAAGCATCTTGGAATCTACACAGCTGTCGTGTTCGTTCCAAGGACGTTATACATTTCCATAGATCCTATGATTAAGCAATTGCTAATAGAATTTGATGCAGTTCAGATCTTAACTCTTTCATCCGAGTACGGGGATGTCGACACTGGTGCTAAACTTGCCCGTCTTTTGACATTAACGTTTTCGGTGGCTCGTAATTTTCTAATTTTCATTTTCCATTTCATGTCATGGATCAATCAAATACTCCAACTGTAAATGACTTATTGTAATAAATTTTGGTATATTTTTTTCAGGTACACAGTATTTACAATGTCATAGAACCCATCTATCCAATATTCATCAATTATAGGCTATAAAAGTCCACTGATGAACATAGGCCTTACTCAGATTGTCTCGTGGGGTATTTTGCCATAGTTGCCACGCTTTGATCAGGAAGATCATCTCCTGTTTCATTTTCCATCTGTCGCCTCTTACTCTACGATATGGCATTGTGGATATTCTTATACACGGTTATATAACACAATTAATTATTAATTAATGGTAAATAAAAGAAAATGATGTGTTACAGACCGTACTTGAGAATGTGTAGGTAATGTACTTCCGGCCGTGGTCCACCCAACGCGTTCATTCAACCTTGAATACATAAGTATACAAATGAATTGAATATTGAAATTTATAATTTTGTGACTTATTTTTCTTGACCAAATAAATATATATTTTACCTTTATACATAACTTTTTAATCTTTTGATGCCGTTTATATAACAAAATTATATAAAAATCAATCTATAATCTCCACTGCTGGATATGGGCTTCTCTCGTTGAAGGGAGGTTTTGCCTTAATCGGCACGTTTAGCTGGCGCATTGGCGATCGTAGATCTGGAAGTCTTGCACCTTTGACGCAGTTTTCCATCACCGGGCTAAGTATTTTACGCCTAGCGCAAGACAGATGGTTAACTCTGCCATCTACAGAAAGTCTTTCTAACATATCCCATAGTCACCTATTACAACACCCACGGGGTGAAATGGGATGGCGTAACATGGTATATTATAGTTTATGTGAGATAATGTTTTCAAATACCTGTTCTATAAAATAAAAACAAAAGAGCTTAAAATTATAATTTTATTAAAACAAAATTTATAACATGTTAACAGCTTTTATTATATTATTAAAATTATGTTTTTAATAAAACATAAATTAAAATGACTATGTACAAAACTATAAAATTATGTACAAATCATGCATTTGCATGCATCGCCCTCGTGAGTATAGGTGTACTTATGGTGACTTAAAATAAGTCTGACTTTAGGTCTATACTAATTGTGTTGTATTTTGTAAAGATATATAGAATATTAAGGTTTAAAGCATTACATTTTTCACATCTGGCGATCATTGTATTGGATATTATTATTATGGGAAATATAATGTTACGTTACAACACTACTATTCGTTATATTTGCTCTTTTAGAATACACTTGTATAACACAGCTATTTTAGGTTTCTCTTAGAATGTCTTTTGAGTTACATTAAAATCACACATTAGCTATCTACTGCTCGTAGTAGAGACCTTTGTAGTCAAGAGCTGCTCTCTCTTCTTGCTGCCTGGCTGCTTCAGGATTGTTCTTGGCCTCTATCTCAGCGCGTTCCTGTAAAAAACGTTGTTATATGAGAATTCATACTGTTACTTTAATTTTTCTTCGTTATACACAGCTAATTAAAGACTTACTCTTAGTAAAAAACAATAATACTCTGCTACTGCAGAAATGTATGTTTGACGAAAAAGAATTATAAATAAATTAGGTATGTATATTAATAGGTTTATTAATTAAACAAGGTCTAAGCTGTATATATCTACAAATATTCAAAACCATGTATTATAAACAAGCTTATTATTACATATAGTATTACAATTAAAATTTACCATAAAATATATATCGAACTGCTAATAGTTTATATTTACAAATAAAAATAAAATTAGAATTATATTATTTTATTCCAAATTTATTTAAAATCAAAAAAATACCTGTTTGGCTTTAATGCCTGCGTAAATGAGATCAAGGCCTTTTTGAATTTCAGGCGATACTGGTGGTGGGGTTGGGATGTGGTCACCCTTGACCCGGAAGCCAAGTTCGTCGGCGGTGTATTCGATGTTGATGACTTGACCGTCAGGGGCTGTGTATGAATATGAACCTTCTTGTACCAACGCGTCTTTGTCTTCCCCGACTGACTTAAAGTAACCCTGTTCTTCGGCATAGATGTGGTTACCAGTTTCATATCTGTAAATTATATATGAGAATGCGTTAGTTATTTTTAGTAACAAGCGTTTAAGTTATTCATTAATATACATAATATAATTAGGGTAGCTTTTGAAGTAAAACATAAATAACATAAAGCCATTTATAACTTATTAAATATATTATAGAATATTTATTTATATAACAAAAGATGTTCAACAAGTGAAGGTAAGAAGTGTTTGTCATAGACTATTTAAATCGAACCTCTTAATCACTTAAATGTGATCTTAATGTGGTTAATGCTATAATTACCATTAAATATATTTTTTAAGTTTCTATAATTGGCATTATAAAACAGGGTAATTTTTCAAAGAATAGCGTAATTTTAAAGTTAAGTTCAAATATATATTGAAAATACGAGTAAATAAGGCTTCTACTTTTATTTAGAATATCCCAAATTGAGTTTGATTTATGGGCAACAATGTTTTTGCCTACCGATCGACCATTAGGAATGTGTGCATTTTGAATTTAAAAGATAAGAATTACAGAATTATTATTTTTTAAATTAATTTTTCTTTACCATTTGCCTATATTACTAATTTTGAACCTTTTCTGCAAATTTGGCCGGTTATTACAAAATAACTTTAAAATTACGGAACGGAAAAAAAGTTTGTGATTTTTTTCATTTAGACGAAGATATTTTTGACATTAATTAGACTTCAACGCGTAACTACAAAATGTTGCTGAGATTTTCAGGGCAACGATAGGTACGAGTAAACAGATGCAATTTCGGTTGTAAACATGTATTGATTATTATATAGGATTTTTTTCAAGCAATTATTATCCAATACATAATTATCTCTTAACATTTAAGACTCTATTCTGAAAAATATACAATTAAACTCTAGCTTCATTTCTACAGTATATTAAAACAAGCTCTACACCAGTTCTTAACTGAACATGGGCCACGTATTTGATTCGGTTACACAATGATTAAACGTTTGGCTGCAGCCTTGTTGACAGCGGTTTCAACACCCGCACAGGACAAGTTCACACACATTCATACATGTTCATGCACAGGACAAATGTATGATGTATGGTTTATATGTGTCTATATGTTTGTCTATGTACAAATACAATCTGTATATCTAAAACGTCTTCACGACAAATTCTTAAACACCAAAATCTATTTGTAAAGTAATAATAAATTTTTAGGGGTTGAAAATATTTAACATTAAAATAAGATTCAAATACTCACGAAGTCTTGTAGCTTCCATCGGTATCCTGTGCTTTATCAAAACTTATAATAGGAATATACGTGGAGGTCTCTAACTCTACTTTTGGTGTGAAATCTTCAATGGGCTTGAGCGGTCTGTACTCTGATTGTTTGTATTCTGCTTGGTAGTTGTAGTTCTGTTCAACTGTCTGTTGATCGTTCAGTCCTGATACTGACTTCAACGAAATTTTCCTCTGAGGGAGAGCAGTCGTAAGTGCAAGCACTGCGGAAAATATTACCTGGAATCACAAATTACATACGATTCTGTGTTAAATTCGTCTAAAGAAAATAACTATGTCTTATTTTGCCTGTGTTTTTATATTATAATATATTTTGTGCTATATTCGTAATGACGTTAATATTTACAAATTTTAAGTTACCTATTTGTTCAAAATCTTTTCGGAATAATTAGATATTAATAATAACATTATAATATATTTTAGGCACAGAAAAAAAAACAATAGTAAGTAAAGAATTAATTATAAAACTTTTAACAATTCATTTTCATCACTACAGTCTATCTAAAGTCAATCGCTGATGATAGGCCTTCTCCATATAATATTTTCACCATAGGAGGGGGGGCGTATTTGCTAGTGCCTCGCTTGGCGATCGGGTTGGCGATAGTTGTAGTGTCAGAGACAGAGCTTTGATCATAATGCTTATTCCAATAATTATAAATTTGTCTTTACACACAAATATATACTGACCACGCTTTTTAACCCATTGAATGAAAGACTCGAAATAGTATCGTAAACTTACAGTACAGAAAATTACATCGAATAAAGACACGCTTGGACGTCTCCAAAAAACAAACTAACATCGCCGTAGTTGGTTTATAAGGATTACATAACATTATATTTGTCTATAAAATACAATAATATACTTAAAATGAGCATTGAATAGGGTGTATATTGTAGGTATACTATAGGGAGACTCCCCGATAGATGGAGTGACGACCTGTTAAGACATGCAGGAAGTCGATGGATGCAGGTGGCTCAGAACCGTTTGCAGCATTCCTTTGGGAAGGCCTATGTTTAGCAGTGGACCTGTGAAGGGCTGACATGGTGATGAAGATGATGATGAGTATTGAGTAAAGCCGGGCTGTACAGAAACAATAGAAACTCTCAGAAAAAAAAAACATACTACAGCATTTACTCATGAAATTTTGACATGTTGCACCACCAAACATTCATAAGCTTTCATTTTGGTTTTAAAATATATTGCGATGTACATATTAAATTATAATTCATTGTCATAACATAATATTAATGAACTTTTTGTTTATAAAATACATACTCTAAGGTGACATCGAAATATTTCTGAGGCCAAAAACGTCATAACCTAGAAAGTAATGTTATGAAATTTGCAGTTTGTCCTCACGATGAACAACATCTATTTATTTAGATTTATTAGTTTTGTCATTCGGTGTTAGCGATTACTAAATGTAATAAAAATCGTAGTTAAAACTTAAATATTCACGTTCATTTTAAGCCTTCATCGTTTATCATAAAAATAAAGCTTTCGCGATTTTCATTTAATATAATTTCTTTTATTTTGTATACAAAAGATTTTTGTTTTCATGACGTTTATCAACAGATGCTAACATCGAAGCCTATCTAATGCTGGGAATCAATGTTTTTGTAATCTCATATATCGTACAATTATTTGTTAAATATATTTAATAAGTTAATAAACATAATAAATAATTAATTTATATAGTATGTGGCATAATAAAATTTTTCAAAACTAAAGATGGTTTTTATTTACTCAAATACGTTTCAGCGAACAAAATTTTAAAATTGTGTGCTTAAATAAATAAATATCATATCAGTATTATACATATTCCTAAAGTTTCCAATCATACTGAAATGTTTTTGAAGTTATTTTCATTAAAATTAAGTTATGCATTTATATTAAAAATTGCAAATAGGGTGTTATATGTATAAAAAGTTATTTCTTTTTACATTTAAGATCATGAAAAACAACAAAGTAGATAGATTTAAAAATTAAAGCTTTGCCTTATGAAATAATATTGACTAACAATGATTATATCATATAATTGGATGCAAATTTCCTAAAATAATGTTAAAGTTCAATAGCTGACCCTAGCCCTCGGCTTTGTATCTCGCAAGAAATCATTGTGAAAACCCGCAAAAATAAGAGCAAACAATATTTCGTTTAATGTAAATCACACACATCTCGTATACAGCTTCCAACAGATTAATACCTCATATCTTCCACATATGAGCTTCTTCCAGACATTGAGTCTGAAAGGTATTTATAATGTACATAAAATCTACGGTATTTAAAAAGGATAGTGAACTATTTTATCTTAAGTGATTAACGATGTGCGATAAATGCTTTTTAACTTACCAGTACTTTCATTGTTCTTTTTTTAGTATCAGTTATGCGACAGCGAAGCACGTGAAGTCTCTTCGAAACTGTATCAGAGTGATAGACGCTCACTTATATATTTCACCCCTGCCACTTACTCGCTCTCTGTCTTGAGATATCACCCATTCATACCCTATTCGTAGCTGTAACGTGCTGGGTGACAAAAAATGTCGAGTTTTTTTTTTGTTTCAATACTAATGAGTGAAAATACTATAATAGAAGACAACACATCATATTATTACGTACCCTTTAGTAATAACATCTAATTCTGATCTTTCTGCTAAGTGACGATACAAGGTTGTGACTTTTACGTAGGCCGTTATTGGCGATATTTTAAGAGTTGCATATGAATTATCTAGCCATGAATATAACAACATTCAGATCCTATGATTGTGTTTATCATGTTAAGTAACTATCAGAGCTTATCAAAAGTCTATTGCTAAACATAGGCCTTCCCTAACCTTCCTAACATATCATAGCGGATATTTGCCATAGTTATTACGCATGGATGTAGGGTTGACAAACGCCACTTAAATTTTTTAGTTTTTTTTTGTAAGACCCTGCTTCTCATCTATGAATGATTGATTTTTTTTATAGGACAAAGAGACAAACGAACACACAGTTCACCTGATGTTAAGTGGTTTCTGTGACCCAAAGACATCAACATTTATCCTCGATAAAGAATCAAAATGCTGATGCATCGTCAACCGTGAGGACTAAGATGGAATGCCTCTTTTCCAGTAAAAAAGGTCTCCGGTTCTCTATACTCACCATATGAAACACAGCAGTGTCAAGCTGCAATTTTACGCTGGTATTATGTGAGAGCGTGGTCCTTCCCCGGTCGAGCCGACCCATTCGTGCTACAACTATACTACTAATATAGCTGCAGCATGGCTCTACCACGTGTATAATGAATAATACCAATATAATATACAAAAAAATACAAAATAACAACTGAATAAATAAAATAAATTTTGCCTTACAGTAATAAACCACAGAACCAAATTATATTAATATACTACATTGGAGACAATATAGTGAATGTGACCTGTGAGAAAGGATCAGGGTACGCAAGTTATTATAATAGCTAAATATACGCGGAATTTTAACCTAAGCTCCGTCGCGCAGTGGCTTAGCAATGAGTTGTTGCGCTGGGGGCCGCGGGTTCGAATCCCGCACGGACCAAGTATTTGTATGGCCTACAAATAATTGTTTCGGGTCTGGATGTTTGTCCTCGTGCAATTTATGTTTGTAAAATGCCTTCACGACACAGAAAATAAAAATAAAAGAAATACATACATAAAATTATATTTATTTTTAGTTTTTGTTGTAAAATATAAATATATAATAAAAAAATATAAAAAATAATACATTGCAATTACAAAAATATAGAAATTTATATACAATAGCCTAAAGGAGTAGCAAAGTAGGTAAAATAAAAGCCTTTGTTCGTTTCCTTCTGATGCCTCTAACACACCTAGGTGACGATATGGTGCAGGATATGCTAAATTTGCTTCTGCGCGGTCGTTTTAGTAATATAACAAATATTTTTATGTTATAGAATTACATTGTAAGTAATATTGGTCTTTTATATTAAGTTTCATAGCGCCGATGACCCACCTGCGGCTTTCTTTTCTGATATCCTCAAGGTATTTACCAACTTTACGAAACGGACTGAGGCATAGGATAAAATTTGAAGGGCATTAAGAAAAGTCGTAAGCGCAACTCCTAAACATGAATTCTTATGTTCAATTCCCAACTCTGACCAAAAACAGTCAATGCGTTTTTTTGTAGGATAGGGTGACAAACGAGCACACAGTCCACCTGATGGTAAGTGGTTGCTGTGACCCATAGACATTACATCTATCCTCAATAAAGAATTAAAATGCTGACTAAATGATGATGATGACTAAAGACTAAAATGATGATTAAAATGACTAAGATGGAATGCCTCTTTTTCAGTGAAATTGGTCTCCGGTTCTCTACACTCACTATACGAAACAGTGTTAAGCTGCTATTTTACGCTGATATTCTGTTAGAGTCTGGTCCTTCCCCGGTTTTTCAGGCTAAAAAAATTTTGTAGCAGTCCGGAGTTAGGAGGTTAGTGGTGTTTCACAACCGTGCCGCGTAAAGCATGTAAAGCCGTTGGACGATGATAGTGCGCAGAATGGAATAAAAGTGCACCTGCGCTCGTGAACACACTCGTGCACTATAATCCTGTAATAGGCAGATGGCTTATCTCTATTGAGACTGGCCACTGTGACCAAAACAATGTCAGAAGGTTATTTTATATTTGTTGAATCTATGAACTTTTACAGGGTTTGACACGTTCTTCTTTTAGAGCTTTCGGTGTATAACTTATCTCATCAGCTTAGTTAATTCGGGTTGAAGGAATTTTCCAACTCTGTGTCAAAGGCTGCTTATCAGAGCCTATTAAGATTAACGCTGATCTGTTCAACTGTAAATTAATAAACAAAAATTAGGTAGGTGTTTGATCCCGAGCCAGCCGCAAGAGAGTTAAGAGTTCTTACAAAAGTGCGGTTGTCCTTCACGATGGGACATGTCCAAATCAAAAACAAATTCTGTCTTGCGATGAGTATTGATGTCATGTATGCTAATGTTACAAAACGCTTCTTAGAAGGTTTGGCGTCAGTGGTCGTGCTAAGAGTCTCATTGGTGACCTAGACTTGATTAAAACCAGTCTTGTCAGTCCCGAGCAGTCGTAGAGTAGGCAGGCTTACGATATTTTCCAAGATACACTTAGGAGTGTGCGCAAGCGCTACATGGCTTAATTTCTACTTGTTTACCATTATTCTTTCACCAATTTGTTGTTGATATACTGCAT